CAGTAAAGAGAGTTTTTAGTTATTGGTACGGTCAACTTTAAAGCCCTAGGAGTTTCCAAATACCCTTTGAGGACAAATCATTAGCAAGAGGAAAGGTTACGTTCGTCAATCTGAGTTAGTTGGCAGATGGATGCAATTAAACCATCATAGGTTTTCAGAGATTTTGGCCAATTATCGTTGGGTTTAGCACCCTCACACAAAAGAAAATACGATGAGGTCACCTGAGATATACAATCACGAGCGTTTTGAAAGCACCGGCTAGCACGTGACGTCAGCACACCATCATCATTAGTGCACCCCAACTGTTCTATAATATCCTGAAAATATCTGTCTGATCCATTACTTCTAGGATTGTGCGCGCGGTGTGTCTGCGGTAAGAGCTTTGACAGTTCTATGTTTGTATCATCAAGTGTTTTCAGTGATGATCAAATGTTTGCTGGTAGTAGGAAAGCGTTTTATGCTATACTGTTAGCCAGAAACACTTCTTGTTGGGTACCGTCAGTCATGCCTCCCGGAATAGCACTGGTTAATATAGGCCAATCACAAGTCCTGAAACGTGCAGAGAGTATTTTAACCGGTAAATATCAGCTGAAGCAAGGTGCCAAGTAGTCCTGAATGGGACTGGGGGAAGCGGAATAACTATTCCAGTTCGTATTTGGTCCAGTCAGTAATCAATAGCCACAACACACTGCACTTTGTGAAACAGATCCATATGACTATCAAAACCAGCTGTTTGTCTTGCCCTTCCAATAAGCATGGCCTCTGAAGCTTGCAGCAATCGATAATCGGAGAGCTGACTTCAGAGTCAGGTAAGCAGAACTGTCTGCCGGAATTTGCTTCGAAAACCATTCAGTGGCCTAGAAAAAAAGCTGGCCAAAAACGATCTCTTCTGACAGTTTATTTCCACCGAAAGCGGTTCGTATGAAGCAGGATGCCCTTACTTGTTTTACTCTTGTAGGCAACTGTCACTCAGTGTTTTTGGGGCCATTTATCAGGTGCTCAGGTTTTCAGCTATCATTCAGCCAAAACAGTACACGTATAAACTGGTCCAATTAGTCTAGCCTTTAGAAGCAATATATCTGGACAAATACTGACACAACACTAACACGTCCATTATTGTTATCTCTGAGTGCTCAGTTTACGTTTATAGTATCCCGAAAGGTAAGAACAACTGTGTGTGGACGTTTTATAGATAAGGGACGAGTAGCAAACACCAGTCGGTTATTCTAAACATATTTTGAATGTTTCGGATTCACTCTGGCTAGGCGCCGTTTGTTGGTCTGCTGTCATCCATCGCTCTTCGTTCGACGCCCAGCTGTTGTGTATCCTCTGTTTGGATGAAATTGGGTCTGCTATTGTTAGTCTCGCATAACTTTAAAATTCAGGTAAAAAGTTGTCGCCGTTACGGGACTTCGTCGGAGCGATTTTCAGTCACGTCCATGTGTTCATAGTTTACATCATCACGGGCATACTTGCAAGCCAATTGCATCGCGTTGCCAGTATACGGTGTATTCGGAATCACTGATATCAGCCCCTCCCTAACAGACTCGTTGTTTTCTCAAACATCTTGCAGCCCGCCAAATCCACATTGTGCGACCTAGTCGCCATGACGACAGGAGATTTATTGAAATCCAAAGAGGTAACTTGTCGCATTCGTTCTCGGTAGTTCTAACAGGGAAACTAAGAAACCGAATATGTATCTGGTGTATCTGGTTTAATCTTTTGTTGTCACCAATGTATTCTTCTATTGACGAACTGCCTAACGCTGACTACTAACCTACCACATAACAAAAGCGTTCACAGCCTCTACTATTTCATCTACGTTTTGTTAACTTCTTCCGTTTTCCGAGGCTTCAAAATATAGTCGCCAAATTTTTACAGACGTATTACAGTTTGATTCACCCACTCAAATGACGTGTTGCTTTCGACGACCTACAGTGAGTATGAACAGCTGATCTGAACTTCACTACACCCGGTGCTAGCAAGAAACATAAATATAAGCCTGGAATCTAAGTGGGCTTTGAAAACCAAACACAGTTTCGAGGATCGTTCTCAGAAAGACGCTACATAAGCAGGTTTATCTTGAAAGCGAATGATCTGCCCTTAATCAGCAAGTCTATTTCAGTCATTCAGAAACTTCCTTCTGAGTAGTCGTCGATCAAGGGGCCGGTCAGTACGTGGCCACGTGATATGGTTTTCGTGATTGAAGGATGAGTGGCGCTGCATCCTGTCCAAGTGAGAGCTAATCACACCACTGACCAGCCACGCATGGCCAAACTGTTAAGTGTCCAACCACTGACCGGAAGGTAGCGGTCTTGAGACTCCGTGGAGATGCGCACTACGATGATTCCCAAAAGGATGAAATATCCGTGCAGTGCTTCACGGATATCCAGCATAGATTGGTATGAGATCGGATGAGATTTTCATTGAATATTTAGGATGTGATGAACAGTAGTCAAAATCCATAAATGTATAAGCCATAATGGCCCATGAACCATCAAAAAACCACAGCGCATAACGCTGGAAATGTCACTTGCGCACCTGAAAATGTAACCCTGGAACTCGGTTAACGGTTAGTTGGCGACAGTGTATGTTTTCTAGGCGGCATATTCGCACAATGCTTCGGGAACACCTCCTTAGCAGAATGACCACTTACTTCCAGCTCCAACAAGGTGACAGGTGATAGGATAAATCTGAAGTGATTGCGCTAATCATCCATATTAAGAATGATGTGCTATTTTCGACAGTCGACGGAGGACAGCATCATCCCAGCAACATCCGATAAAATAGTCGTCAATCGAGATTTCATCCTGCAACTGAAGTCAATCTATGCTAAGAATCCGAGAACCACAGTATCGCTGTTTTATTCTTAATGGGAGTCATCAGCAGTGCTCATCTCGCGAAATTATGGAGAGTTTCGAACCCGGCCGGTGGTTGAGCACTGACCGTTTGGCCGCGTGCGGCTGAACAACACCAGAGTTTGCTCTGGCTATTTGTTTCATTCAGAATAATTAGTCCTTGTCCCAAGATATGATGAGGTATCCGCTGCTAGGTTAGGGAGACGCAATTTCCTAAAAGGTAAATACACGGTAAGACTAAATTCGCACACCAAGCGCATCTTTGTGTACCACCGGAGCGAGACTGCCGAGGCGGCCAGTGAATGCCACCGCTGACCGACTTAACAATTATGGAGATACCGGTATGCTCATGGCACATAAATCGAGTCAGTAAGCAATGGACGTTGGACAGTCATGCTCAAAACTCTGAGGAGTAGAATAACTGAAAATAAGGGACTCCTTGAAGCACTTGCTTCTTCTTGCTCTTGTCACATCACCTATTAGGCTGAGCAAAGCAGCCACTTATCGATGACGAAAGCAATAGTGTTCTGCTTATTGTCAGTGAATCCTCGCGGATGGCCTCATGAATATCTCCCAAACAAGCGTTTAAAAACCTTCACTTACGCTAGAAATGCCCCCCCCCCAAAAAAAAGGTGGTCTGGACGGAATAAGCGATCTTTTTCGAAGTACCATTACAGTCATAATAATGTGAATGATTGAGCTCGGTTGCTGATAGGATTTGTCGCACAACTGGGGTAAAAGATCAGTTTGCTTTCGAATCCTACATCTGTTTTTGGGACACCTAGTACAATATAGCTTTGATTTCATATACTAAACAAGGAGCTTTCAGTAGTTTCGTACGTCTTTCCGTGGAAGTTTCTTCTCGTGTTCTGATGCCAGGTGCGTCAAATTATACTTGATTCAGTTGCATATCTTGCAGCTCATAACTTCTGTGATTATGTTGTATCTTTATTGGTGTGTTCCTCTCCATCATGTAAGGACTGGGAAAAAAGTGTCATACTGGTTCGCATAGATCAGTACTAGCGTGACAGATAAAAATAACCTGGTGCAATGATTTAACTGATTCTGAAGCCTGTTCACAATTTTAATCTGTCAAACAGAGAGACCTTAGGCCAGCCTAACCATGACACTTCTGCTAAATGAATTGAATAAATAAAAACTAAATAGAATAAAACAAATAAGTAAGTCCTCTCATTGCACTGGGTTTTGGCTTTATAGTGCTAGTCGAACCATTGGAACTTATGGTGTGGACCTAAACAGGGTAGTTATAGGTCATCTGTATGGTTAAAAATTAGAGGGGAACACCCAGATCGTGATGTCTGTAGACGTTTTTGAACGAGCAGGTTGTGGCCTACATCGTACGCGAATCACACCGTGACAGTGGAGAGTATTCTGATTGTTTAGGAGAACATTAGACGCAAGATGTTGCCCTATACGTAAGTACGCCTAAGCAACCGATGTACTCGGTGTTCCATGACTGACTCGGACGAGCCAAATACACGAATTCGGCCACATCGTAGCATGTCTGACGGTTAATCGAAAGCACTCTGTTTCAACCTGAATCTAGTTTCATAAGAGAGCACACTCAGCAGGTGGTTGTTTATATTCAACCACTCTTAATCAAGGGCTTGAGGGTAAGCCTTTTAAACAGTCTTTCTCAGTCCCCTTGGGTTGTGCCCCTTGAATCAAGTAAATTATCCCGGAGATAAGTGAACCTGCTTGGGTTCCAGCCTATTCTATCATTTCTTCGAAAGGACTGATTGCTAGCGTTAAAGTATCTCGACTGGAACAAAACACACCCGAGCAGCTTATTCAATTCCATTGCATCAGTACCGTTGAAACTGAGTTGCAGGTTTTCATTTACTCATGTCTGCTACGTGAGTGCGAACATAACTGTGTACTGATTCCTTTTTTCACTATCTGCTAACAATCACCCGATTAATCAGGTCCAACTCACCACACTCTTAAAAATCCATAAGCCGAACTCCAAACCAAACGTACGATCACAACAAGCCTATGTCATAATGTCGGTGGTGGGCTAGTCTTTCTCATCCGTGTGTCTGGTTTACCTCACTTTTTATTTTAATTTTTCCCCCTTCAAACATTAAAACTCAAATGCCCTTTACCATTAAAATTTCGCAGCGTCGGAAGTTCGTTCAACTGGTCCCAGTGAAAAAGGTCCCAGTCATCCAGCAACTTCTGTTTATAGTGATCAGCGAACCAGAAATACAACAAGTTGGGACGATTATATGTTGCATTCATATAATCAACAAAGCAATTATGGATATCCAGTAAACGGGCTACGGATTCGTTCGCGAAGTCCCTCTCCTCAGACATCCATTCCTTCGCAAGATAGGGGACTGATGGATCGCATGGATGGTTTCAATTCACCTTATTTAGACGGTATAAGGACCGTGTCAACTAGGCCAAAAGAAGCGATCCAAAGACGGGCAGCCTTCGCAAATAGCGCTCCACATTCGCCCGTCACAGAGATAAGAAGTCCAGCGTTCGACTCTCGCAGCGGTAGTACCGCGGTTATGAGAAATGGTCTGGGAACCTCTGGACTTCCTCCCGTTCCAAACCGATTTTCAACTATCCGGACGAGTCGAAACGAGCATTCACCTGCCACAGACAAACTCACACCGATGGGTCCACCAACGGAAGAGGTCACTATGCATATCGATCCCGAAACCGGAACACCGGTCAAGGTCACATCAAGGTCACAGTCGTTCACAGATTTGGATCAGAATGTGGTTGTCACAAAGACTGATGAAATAATTGAGAAGGAGGATGGGACTGAACACTGTACGAAGCAACGAACTGTCCGGAAAAGTGAGTTGGATTGTGATCAGATTCGAATGAGGTCCCAAGCAGGTCGTCTGTAATAGCGTTCTAATGAAATATTGTACAAACTACCTACAACAGTAGAAAGGTTGCTTCAAAGTACTATTCAAAAACCAAAAATGTGGCTCAATTTAAAGCGGTCCCGGGTGACGAACTCTCGTCTAATAAGACAGTAAATGAGTCGTGCATTAATGCCGATCTGTTTGTCAAAGGCGTGTTATCACGTCCGACAAGGTTTCGTCCGAAACTACGAAAACGAGTCCGTAATTGGCTTTGATTGGTGTCCCTAACATAATTTGTCACAGGCATACCCGTTAAACGTTCTCTGGGTCAGTGTTTGTGCTGTGTCTCTCATAATCTGCTGTTTTGATTGAAGCTATCGTACAACCACGTCTCCTAGGGAGAGGTTATTAATGAAACAGTTGTTAATACCTCATTTTGAATAGGAACCATTGCCACAGTCAAAGTAAGGTCGTTGGAGTTCTTCACCAAACTGTGGCATTGCAAGACACAATGCTGGGAGGTTTGCTTGCAGACACGATAACCATATTCACTGGATCTTTGCCCGGTGACATTCATCAGGGTCAGACACAAGAAAACTGTGCACAGCACATCCTCTGAAGTACACTAATCTAATTGGTACCAAACAAGAGATATTCACCGAAATCCACGTTCAATCTCACGTTTGTGACATTCATCAAAGATGTGTGCCGCACTCTGGTTGCTTAATACCCTCCGTTGGAAAGTTACTCAAGAAAGTTGATACAACATAAGCTGGTTATGCGTTGAAATACTGAACTATGCTCGGCGAACAGATCTGCAGCCGCAGGATCGACAGCCAATATAATTTAACTTGTAAGGTTGGCAAAATTTCAGTGACAGCCCTCAATTGCTTTTTCCAAATTTGGGGCTCATCAGGTAGGCTTACCATCGGAGTTCTCATCAACCTCACGTTCTACTTTGAAATCATATTGTATGCCAGTGGCGAATACACTCATTCGTAAAATAATGGGGCGTCAACCAGCTGATTCGCTATTTAATTGTTTCCTGTAACTGCTAAGCCACACAGTAGTTGCTTCATGTTTCGGTTCAACTATATTCAACCTATCGATTGACTTTTCTTGCTACAGCTCGGTAACCTGCCCCCAAGGTCCAGCCGTACTCAGTTTTATCTATATATCGTGATGGCGGTAACTTGGAATATTGAATGAGTTGATAAGCAAACGTAATTTATTCGGAGCTGTGCATAGTTAGCTGTCATAAGAACCTTGGATACAACCAGAAGGTGCTGCCTGTTATCACAAGTCATTATGTGCTCGTAGATGTCCTTACTAAATGAGTTATTCGCAGCAGTTGCTAACCTTCAAGTCTACTCACAAATTATGTTCAATTTACTCATATTTACTCCCGAATCAGCTATTCAGAATTCACCGAGAACTCGCAGACCTGTGAATCGCCTTGAAAGTAAGTGAGTTTTTCGACTGAGATCCAAGCTGTACTAGACTCATGGAACAGTGTTTTGAAGCTCGTTGACTGTGTGAGACAAGGGATCACATCCACGAGTGCAGCTCATTGACGATATTCTCTACATGATTAGGAACGGTCATTTTTTTCACCCAGGATTTACTCAAAGGCACTGGTCAATTAGATTTAACAAAACTGTATATTAAAATGGTTCTGTTGCACACCGATTTCGCTTTCGGTTCTACTGTCGACGTTGGGGCTTTCATGCGTCTTTCCTGAATTTACTCGATCTAAGGCGGCTGCAACCTTTCGTGGTATGGAATCCTGCGGCTGTTAGTACGGACTCCCGAGACTCAGTGGGACGACGAGATTATTAGCACCGATCATGAGCTCTGCCGCTCGGAGCTCCATTGGAGCTGGAAGGCCATATTCTCAGTGACTATGGCTTTCACTTATCCAGGGTCCAGACGATCGGTAACATTCCTTCTCGATGGTTGACCTCTTTTTCTCAGTGTTGTTTAGGTCACGGGTGGCATATTTGATGACCCTATCCTTCTGCTACACATACCCCGGTTACCAAATCCATTGCTACAGTATACATCTCTTCAGGCAGTTCGAGGGTGATTTGCTGATCTAGCAACCCATGCTTTGACGCGTTCGATGGCTTTGTATGCTTTACTTGTATAAAGCTTCTGGGAGAGCCATCGATTTGACAATTTTTTAGTCCACCCACACATCACCTCGAAGATCTGAATAACGAGAATTCCGGTCATTTTTTCCTCATTTCGTTCACCACAAAATCCAAAAGGGAAGGTAAAATGTAGCACGGGCAATTGGTGTCTTCATTGCACTGAGTTTTTAAATAGCATTTCTCTGATTAGCGAGCGGTTTAAAAGTATACCACAATTAACCCGCAGTTTGGTAATATTATCGAAGGCAGTCACCCAGTCATCCGACTACTCTCAGAGCAAGAGTACTCTGACCCCCGGTGATTCAGCTGGAAGTTGTCACGAACTCATCCAAACTTTCCATTAGAAATGGTCTAAGTTCGACGGTTTGGACATACTTCCATATGACTTAAACAAGTACCACGTACTATTCACTTTTTTAATCAACAAACCTTAAAATTCATACATTCATGCTCTATTTAGAAGTTAGCTGGCTAATTCATCTTTCTGCACGGTCCGACTCTAATTCTACGGGGTACAGCCACCGATTAGACGACTCAAATTCAGATAACGAACTCTTCTCCTGTGCGAAATTATCTATACTCCACATCAACATATTTACTGGTCGTGTGATGTATTCTGACACTTTTTGGTAACATTTTCGATATTTTTTTCAAGCTTTTGAAAACTATTTTAACTTATGATACAAAATGTGCCAAGCAAGGTTGATGGCCACTTATTTCAGATTGCTTGTCTGAGGACTACTGCTCCCTTTAAGTTTCGAAATTCTCTACTTCAGAATCTTCGTTTTTCCAAATGTGTCGACTAGTCTTGGTTGATTGATTGATTAATTGATTGATTGATTACAAACGTTTTGTCGTTTTACGGCATCCAAACACCAAATACCACATACAGCGTCGATGCGGGGGATCAATCGATATTACGCGAATCGATGAAACCGTAGAAAAGCACAACAGTTAGATGTTTGGCGTTTGGCTAAGTGTTACTTGGTTGGGGATAGCTAAATGCATACAATCTCGTTCTTTTGATGACCGAGAAATCGGTAAATCCACTTTTGCTAAGTTAGTCCAGCTCGACAAATCCAAACAGCCATATTCGGTCTGACGCATACATTCCCAAACATGTTCGGTTTACGAGGGCATGACTGGCAAAGCGCACATTCGCATACCACCTGTAGTAAGAATGCGGTTAACGTTAGTGACTCATTCCACAAGGTTCCCCCATCTGCGCCGAGACAGAAAATCATCAGCGCATTTTTTTCAGACAACAAAATCAATGTACCGGGTCATTCTTCGCTTCCAACACCTTCTCTTTTCTGGTTTATCATACATCAGGACATTCGGAGTCGGTCCGCAGCAGTCGTGTGCTTCGTTCCAAACTATCTGAAGAAGGTGAGTGTCTGAGTGTTGTGGAGCATAATTATACAGGCGACCATGAACGATCAAAACCATGTGCCACAAGTCATTTATGAAAAACAAATTAGTATAGTCTGTCCAATCAAGAGGTTTGAGACCGAAATTCTCAGCTTTACGACAAGGGAGACAGAATTAGAACACGTAAGTATAAAATCGAACTTTCTCACGTGTTTAAAACACCGTCTCTCTGCTCTGCTGGAATTTGGGAATTTTCACATTCGAATTCAAATACGATACTCCTATTGGTTTGTTATTTCGTTGCGTAATATTAAAACCTTTGAGGTTCCTGTCGCTGGGGTGCAGATATTACTGACGTTTCACATCACTCAAAAAACCTCAAAACGATCTGTAAGTCAGACATACTTGATCGCCGACATTTCGCAACTCAAAAACAGCAAATCGATACTCAGTTGAGTGTGTTTGTCGAATTCCGTTGAACTCAAGTAGAGAAGGGAGTTGACGGGAACTAGGGGACTGCTGATGAGTCTCAAGAAGGGGGAAAACGCTCGCAGACTCTCGAAACGTTTTCGGCAAACTTGTGAATAGATTCCTTTTAAAAAATGCCTTCCTTATTTGCCACATAACCGGGGGGCATCAAAACAGTGCGTACTCACTAACCCGCTAACGAATACCCCAAGAGCGCCCACGTGGTGCAGATGTGACGTTGGATACTACTGATGAGGCATGCAAGTAATCTATAGTTGATATTTAAGCAGCGCCCCCGCGCCTGATGGAAGATAAAGTTAAGTAGGGAAATTGTGAAACTCCTTCGCATTGCTCTCTTACTATTGTGTAATAGTCAACGAATATTCAGGAAGGTTCAACAGGACGAGTGAGAATGTTTAGCTTTTAAAGATCAGTTGTTTACTTTCCTGTCTAATGACTTGTAACTGCTTCGTTTGTATTAGATAACCAATGACCTCCTTTCGCAGGTAGGTTTTATAGTGTGGACCAGCAAAAGGTGACTGAGCTCATATCCACTTGAATAGTTCTCAAGCTCCGACACGATCATCTTAGTCAGTTAATGCCATCCAGACGGATCTCCGATCGACACAGCCGGGACGATAGCTGGGATGGGCGAAAACGCGTCCCTCTGCACAGATGCGCCAGCTCAGATAAGAACCGGGTGTGCTGGAGCGAGGGTTATAACACACTGGCCTTGGGCAGTTTTCTCACTATCATCTAAACTGGGTATCACACTCTAAATCCATCCATCCAGATCAGTTGATTCTAACGCTCTACTCACTTTTTCGGTGTTAAATATGCACCCACTTCGTACTTGCTTTGTCTCGAAATCCGTACAAACCAAAATGCGTCCTACATGTGTCATACAAGAAACCACACGACTCAAAGGTGTAGGCGCATCAAATTTTAGATGCGTAATACATGGAACGGTTGACGGGGTCCGACAAACACTCATTTGCACACCAGTTTGGTTTCCACAAGAAATTCACCTGAACACCATTTGATTTTCCCGTTTTCCTCATGATGTATATTTGAAAAGAAAATCATCCTGGCACGCAACGAAATATTTACCTCCTAGGCGTGCTTTTACAAAGCTGTCCGATTATACACCAACGACTTTCGACGGAAGGAGTTTGAATCTTCTTCTGATGGTTATGTAGGCATATTCTAGCGGCACAACAGAATAACAGGTTCACGAGTTAACAAGTTCTTTTACAAAGCTGTCCGATTATACACCAACTACGTTCGATGGAAGAAGTTTGAACCTTCTTCTGATAGTTATGTAGGCATATTCTAGCGGTACAACAAAGTAACAGGTTCACGGGCTAACAAGTTCCAAGGGCAAACTTCTTCCGAAGTAGCACCTTCTGATGTTATTATCCGGTGACAGAATGGTGTCATTATCAAGTACCATTTTCAAGGATTGTAGAAAAGTACCACATCATAGTAACAACCGGTTGTATAAATGAAAAGGTAAGGAACATTCTCTGTTGTTCTGAAGTCGCTGCACGCGAAATCCATCAGTGAGAAACTGAAACGGACGAGCAGTCACACCATCACGTCTACTTGCTTTGATGTAATGAACTTATTTTGAGCTGGAGAAGCTTGTTTATTTTGGAAGCATCTGGTGTGTACGAGGTGGATAAAGCTCCCCAAAGCTCCCTTCTTCAAAATAACAGGTTTTATACAGTTACCTATGCTTCACTCAGACACTGGGGAAAACAAATTTTTTAGTAAACGTTCGAATGGATATTGCTTGATACATCTGTCCGATTATGCTCAAAAATGGTTTCTTAAACACTGTGTCTATTCCCAGACCGGTTTGTGGTGAGAAGCTTTCAGAAGCAGCACAACGAATCGGTAAATGGTGACATCATTTTAGTGCTTAGTCATCAAACACGAAAACTGCGTTGTCCAAACATCAGCCGACCGCAAGGCTTGCCCGAGCTTAGCTTAGGACCCATCCAGATAATGGTTAGAAGGCTGGACGAAATACTATCCACATAGAGTTTTGGACTTCAACGGTAAGGGTAAGAAAATGAGCTAGTCAGTACGCATCACACAATACCAGCTTCATGTGTTTGCAATACCAGCACTGTGATCTCCATTACAAAATGTCTGTTCTGTTTCAACTCCGTAGATTTTGGGCGCGTCCTGTGAGTCGACTGTCATCGACTATCGTTGGGGCGATCATGACCCTGTTGAGGGAACTTGACGATAAATCGTTCTGATAAGAAGTTGACAAAAGCCAACAAGGAGAAGCATAGCTTAATAAACGAAACTACTCACAAGGTTCCCGAAAACTTTTCAACAGCCCACGACCGGTTTCCNCCAAGAAGGGCGAAACCGGTCGTGGGCTGTCGAAGAGTTTTCAGCAACCTTGTGAGTAGTTCCCTTCATGAAAATATGTTGCGATATCTCGAAGATCGTGCCAACTGAAACATGAGCCGGCCTGTGTGAAGCACTTTTAGCTGTAGAATATCAAAAACGAGAGATTCAGTCAAGTATCTCGTGAAAAACCAAATTGATTCGCAAATTAGTGTATTTATCGAGAAGCATAGCTATCCGGCAACGGAAAGCACGTGGTGTTGAGATGAATGTGGTGATCAGACAGGCTTCCTCCTCTCCAAAATATCTTTTGCACACAACTCATCACACCACATAAAAGTGCACTACCAGTACAAGTTCGCCTGTGAATACAGGTAGATACGACATAAAACATTCACCACCCTTACTAATTGATTGACTGCATCACTACCCGTCTTGCCTTTCGTTTTTCAGCTTCCCCCGAATCACCAACGCGGCAAAGCAAAATTATCGGAGATGGTTGGTTTCTACGCCGCTTACGCTCCTCGTTCTAACACGCAACTGCACGCTTGTGACTGCTACCGCTTTGGTGATGCGCACTTATAATTTTCTACTGAAACTATAAAGTACTTTTAGTAAATGGATACAATACCAACCAAACTAGTGATGTGTGCGTCCGAGCTGCGTACAATTCATACATTGTATCTGTATAGTATAGATAAGTGTGTGTTCCTCCTCTTGAATCGGCCGCAACATGGCTTCGCAGTAGACAGGATTACCTATCGTGGACTGGGATGTGTTGACGAAATAGCTCCCTTTACGGCCATCTGAGAGAAGTGGTGACAACAGTAAAACTTGCTTAAAGCGTTTGGTAGCTGCGTTGTTTCTAGGACGTAACACTTGCTAGAATGAACAACAAATTAGTGGGTTCAGAGACGACACAAACGGAAGGAGAAAAGGCATCCCGATGATGCAAAAGCCAGCCTCTAAAGATGGTACTTAACTGGTTACTAGTTGTATCCACTCGAATCGCAGCGACACTGGTCTATTTTTAAAGAGACTGAAATTTTCTCTGTTAGGAACATTCAATACAAGGGATAGTTTTTTTCTAACATAACGAAACGATCGCCTCTTGGAGCGAAATCTTAGTAAGATAACTTTTCCGTCCAAAAGTTTTTCGCTTTCACTCCGCATGAAATGCCATGTGAGACAAGTCGGGATTTTGCATACGGTTGAAATCGCGTTGAAGTCAACAACTTACCTACCGAAACTTTGTTTGGGGATTCTTGAAATGACTCAGCGACAATGGTAGACATTTTGCTCAAAAATACACCTCGTACTTACAGATATTCTTCAGAGTTGTGTGTTCATAGATGTCGTTCAATCTCGTGTCGACAACAAAGGCATTGTGATGTGTATCGATGCCTTGTGCAGATAATGCATGACTTTAAGCATCACAACTGAGGAACCTTGACGACATTTGAAGTAAAATGTCGGCAATCACAAAGGCTTAGCACGTGTTCGTAGCATAGTTTGCGTCTGCGTTGACAAGTGCGTTAGATTCCGTTCCATTGTTGGCTGTATTTGCTATAAGATGTGCTCACAATTTATTGCCTCCTAACACATTGTGTTTATCCTACGACTTGGCCTTGAATTTTTGTTTTTGGTGACTTTCCACCCATCCACATCAATACACTGTAGTTTGGCACTCAAAATATTTGTAACAGATGCACGTAACTCCATGCTTTTCAACTTGTCTTTATGTGGGCTCCGCCAGATGACTCCTCTGCATGGCGAAACCATTTCTGTGCCTGTCACGTCTATGCATGTTCCCGGTAGATGTGAATACGTTTGCACCAGCATTGCTAGATCGAAACCAAAGGCTACCTGAATGTTGTGCTCAAACTACGTTCTTCTGAAGCTGGCAAGCTTTTATCCGTTTTTTAATTTGTCGAATACACCGCACAGTGAATACTTCCAAACTTAATATTGATTACTCATGAGTAGCGAGTAATACCAGTAACATCTATGCCCTGACCCCTGACTTTATGATCACCGTTTTTAATAAATCTGTTCGAATTGTTTCGAAATATGAACTAAGTACAATGTTTCATATTCAAAATGAGTTATTAACAACTGTTTCATTAATAACCTCTACCTAGGAGACGTGGTTTTACGATAGCTTCAATCAAAACAGCAGACTATGAGAGACACAGCACAAACACTGACCCATTGTCACACTCAACTCCACTCCCTAGTGATGTATTATTGATGCCACCATGATTGGTTATGAAACGTTTACCATCAGGTTTCACAGTTGAGCAAACGAACCAGCAATCATATACGCCACTTGGGCTACCAACATTTTTTCAATAGCACATTCCATACCGTTTTGAAGCACCTACATTCCTTGGACACCTCATTTTTCTTCATCACAGATAATCCATCACATTGCTCGTGTTTGCACACACCATAGCACAGTTTGTCCAATGATCGGAGAAATCAATAGTAACTTCCATCAGATAATTAATAGTATAGTAGTAGTATGTTATAGTAATATAGTATACGTCTGTGACTTCCCTTTGAAAGATAGCTAGCACAAACATCTACCCATCACTAGGCATCACTACGCTCCCGAAAAACGCACCCCCTGTCCAAAATTCATTGCATGAAATGTTTTTTTGCAAATCTAAAAAAATGCCCACCTACCGAGAAAACCACACTCATCAATAAGTGTGTTTGGAACTCCATGATAGTAACTCTGCAAGATGCACCTTGACTTCAATGAGACTCACACATTGTGAATAAAAAAGATCATGTAGTATCCCTACTAAAGAAGAAGGATTGTCAATCCATTAATAACAAGCAAATTTAGAACGTTCTGTTTACTTAAGACAGACTTACGAGTATGAGATTGTCTGATACACCTAGGACCACCAGCTCAATATCTGAGCGAGTGAACAGGCTTGACTGACAGCCAAAACTCAGCAGTTTACATCCTCTAGAGGAAGTATCAGTTCCGTTTCTTCATCTGATCATAAAAAGTGCAAGACTCTATCAACTGTCAACAAGCGCGAGATAACCACAAATCGGTACCTAATTCTTCTGTATAGACTGCTCAGCTGTAGTGAGTGAAGAATTGCTCAACATCTAGTGAACCCACCGGTGAATAAAATCACCACGACGTTACGAGGCACAATTTGGTTCTCATATTCCTATGTAACTCCACCCACTTCATAGGTTGAATAAAACTTTGATGCACTGTACCAAGGACGGAGGATTTTGGTAGGTGGATGTGTAGGTCGAATGACCTTAACACCACGCAATTGTTGCTAAAAATGAAATGAAACTTCGACCGAAGCCTAAAGGCTCCCAACTCGTCGATAAATAGGAAGGATTTACCCGTCATCTGCTTCCTGAGAGATTGAGTACAGTTTGATTTGCACATGTGTTACATCACACGCATAATCAACTATTCTTGCGGAGTCACTTTATAGTAATTCCTAATTTGTCAGTGTTGTTCCGAAGTATCTCCAAGTCTATGTTCGTCAGTCAGAATATAACGTGGAAAGATATGATCACACAATCAAGATGCAGGTATCACGGAACATTTCTAAAGCTGCGTAGCCACAGTCCAGCACAAAAACAGGACACTGTCTGTGCGAACTGAACAGGTGATGACAAATTTTTGATGCATCAACCAGCTGAAATTCTGGTTGACACCAATGTAATTTGCCATTGAGAATTCTCCTCCAGCAGACAATGAATCTGATGAAAACTGGGGACTGTGCCACCGTGCCACCGACAATGGGCTGTCGAAGAGCACCTAACAACCCTCTAAGAAGCGCATCATGTCATAAAAATGCTATGCTTTCTTTAACATATTGGTCATTTTGAGCTGGCGACAAATCCGTACGCTTGAGTTTCCGAACCCTCCTACCAGGTTCATTGGTAAAAATGAAGACCTTCAACGAAAAATGGACCAACAGCAAAACGCACTTGTATCTTGTCGATAAATTGCAAAGCTCATTTGTATTCAACGAAAAATGGACCAACAGCAAAACGTACTTGTATCTTATCGATAAATCGCAAAGAAGCTCATTTGTGCATTAAATACCTTCAGGGTTGTACGCCTCAACTTTAGGACGACCACTCAAAAGCATTGGGCGCTGTGAACAAATTGCATGCAAGGCCCACCGGTCAACAACACTGGTTTTGCTATGCGCTAAAATGAAAAAGATGATCGCTATCCGTTAGACAGGCGCTATGTTGTAATGCCAGAATCTTTATCGAATGAATAATATACTTTGTTACCTTGTAGTTTTCTGATGAGCAGTAACATTTGAATATTTCTAAACATCATGAGCTGATCGTCAGCTCAGAATGGCGCTAATACTTTTGCCGCCAGATTGTTCGCTTTCTTTAAGGACAAAATACTGCTGAAACACAACGCGACCAACTGATATCCATTCCTTTCTCTCCCCCCGTTTAGCCACACCTTACCGCGCTACCAGTCAAACAAACCTTGCGGGACGTACTACGCTTGGTCAACAACCATGGTCTTCTGGTGAGTAGAATTCAAACTTTTCATATTGATCGAGTTTGTTGTTTCTGATTTGTAAGCCCAACGTCCATAGATGTTTCTGCGGTACATCATTCTCTCCATCTCAATAGCCTTCTTGTAACAACAATTTTGTGGATGCCTTAGAGAGGTGAATTCCTCTTCTACTTACTGCTTAGAACTACAGCTAATCTGTATTACAACCGCATTTGGTTTTCCCAGAAAGAGTACAATTCTCGAATTGTTATTCCTCAGTCTATCTGACGAACATGAGAGTTGTTCATATCGACCGTGATTACCAGATTCCGATACCAACAGAATAAGTCTTCAGCACGTCGTGGGTAGTGGAACATGGATCTCATGCACATATAACCAACAGCCCTGCTAATAAATACATCGCCTAAGCGGTTCTTTGGGGGCGTATTGTAGTTGTTTGGCTTCCGCGATGGACATTATTCTGCTTTGCGATAAATGCGAAGGTGAATATATATGCATTACTAAACATAAGTTGAACTGGAATGACCAGTTCAGCGCTTCGTCCAACCACCTCAAGTCGGCCTTCCGAGCTCTAGAATGAACATCGCATCGCTAAAGATGAAACGAGCTTTGACAGGAACTAAGTACACACGTGTGTTGTAAAACAATACACATGCTATTGACTTACTTGTTAATGGAGAAACGTAATTTCCTCACGGTCACAGCCGTTCTCTAATTTGACGCTATCCTACTCAGAAGGACTACTATCCCGTCTGTCGGGTGGCCTTTTTCACGATCATGAGCTGCAATCCAACATAAGAGTGGAAAAGATTAAGGCTTACTCCAGTTGTTGCCGAGTTCAAATCTACGTAAGGACTAGCTATGAAACACTGTCTGCCCGGTTAACTAATGTAGCTAATGTAGCATGAGATGGATGACCGATTGGATGAGTGATTGAGATCGCATGTGGTCCAGTATTGGACGACGAACCGGGTAGAGTTGAACCAAGGGAACGGGTGCAAATTCACCAGCCAAACCTACGAGAGAGGTATTTCGGAGTGAAAAACAAGGTAGAAGAGGCTTCTGTGAGTAGTACCTAATCAAACGATACGCATCCAAAAAAGTAAAAATAGAGAAGTTTCAGCCGCTGTAATCTTTCCCATTGACATCCCGAAGAAGGGAAGTCACATGTTCGGATTGATTAAACGTCTAAAACAGCCTGCTGACCGGACCAGACGGCATGTGTGGCACACTGCCATTTAACTCAAAATAGTTGTATTGATTGAATTGGTGAAAACTGGTTTACATCTTATTGGCATAATGCTAAAACATGAGACAAACCACCGTATGTGCCTCAAAGTTAAATGATCGTTATTTGAACGGCACTCGAGAGATTGACCGATTTGTAATGGCACCTATCAGAAATGGAATATCATAAAGAACTTCCCGTGTAACTGTATTCCCAAACGAAAACTGCGCCCAGTCCCTGAGTTTTCTGAATAACTAAGCGGTCGGGATAGTTAGCCGCATAAAGAAGATCATGATGACAATGAATCTCACAAAACTAAAAATAAGTCCGTGTGACTTCAGAAGGCTGGAATATATTATTTATGCAGTGGTCAATAACACAGGTTTTACGAGGTCGATTTAATGATGGTTCACAAATCATGCATACGGTAAAACTTCACCTCAGAGACACGGTTATCTTACGCGTCGTTTTCTAAATGAACATAGCATTCTGGTTTTATAAGAAACCTTCACCGAAAAACACTTTCACGCTGATCCACCGCTCAGGCGATAAGTCTCTAGTAGGAGAACAAAAGGGACTTGGCCCGCACTGAAAAGAACGCTCGAATAGGAAATAGGGCAACCAATGAGTGTATGTATGTTTATTCAGCGATGGTTACCTTTTCGTTGTAAAACGTAAACGGAGTGAGTTGTCCACTGATCGTCTGACGAAAGAACTTCCAGTTACTAGATTTAGCATAGTGACTACCACAGATTTGGACAGGTTAGGCTGGATGGAATTCATTTTGAAAACACCAGATAAGGAACAGTTTAGGTGTGAGGAGCAAATCCAACTACCGCAGAGGTTACACGTGTTATCGCGACCTGGTGGCTCGGTCTACCAACCAGAATGTATATCCAGCTTGGATAAGGCACCACTGCCAATCAGCCCTCCCACTGCCAAAATCATAAAGCAGGGTATCTTCGTTAGCGTTGGTCTGGTGAGTCAAAGGCTGTTCAAAATCTCCCGACAATTTTGACCGATTTTACTCCTCAGTTCAGTTGGAAAGCCGCATATGATGCTTGGATAGTTAACCTTTCGGCTGAAATTTCAAAACAGTTAAAACTCAAGAAAGGCAAAATTCCCCAGTGTATCCTGGGGTGTGTTTCACATTCATTCAAAGTAGTTTCACCATAAAAGTGGGACCTGTGGGTCGCATGAAGAATCTACTTAATTTTAGATGAGTGACCTCTTCCCTAACATGTTTGGGGTGAGCTGTAACTGTTCTAAATCTTTACTGGCAGTCCAACTATGAAACGGTTATACAGGGCTCGCTCTCCAGCTATCGGCAATCTTCTTTTTCTGTCGAATGACAACCGTTCCTTTAACGCGGTCAGAGGAAGCAGTTTGTTTTGGCATGGTTTTGAAGCAAAGGCTTCCTTATGGTGTTTTGAAAAGCTCTGATAATTTTCAATGAATATTTCGTCCCATCAACGAAGTCGATCCATCCTGAAAAGTCGCGAAGCACTGTACACCCGTTTTATCCTTGATAGGGTTCATTACCCGCGTGAATCCAACAAACTTCCACGGAATCTGGAACCAACGGCCTTCCGGCTATTGGGTGGACACTTGACCGTTAGGCGATAAACCGCTGATCGGCAGTGAGATTAGTTCTCTTAGAGAGGATAGCGCCACTCATCCTCCAGACACGGAAACCACACCATGTTCTCGAAGCTCTCTGGGTTTCGTGGGACGAGCAATGCCGATGATTTTGAAAAAGGATGAAACAAGTGTACAATGATTCTCCGCTTTTCAGCATAGGTTGGCTTCAACTACAGAATAAACACTCTGTTAAAAGACATCCGATTGAGCTTGACGAAGACCTGTTCAAGCCACTTTTGTTGTGAACATCGTTTGTTCGGTCAGCGAAATTCGGCCATGGTAAAGCAACATCGTCGGACCTGCATGTTTGTCACATGGTCCGAGAGTGTCCCGTATAACTTGAATGTTAGATCTGAAAAAAAGTCCATTTCCTTAGCCTCATATAAGAAAAAATATTCCATTATAGTAAGTGGTTGCGAGTATTTCTTTCGTGCTTCGGTGAGGCTGACGTGTAGCAAGTTTTTCATCTGGGTAATTATGAAGACTGTCCAACAAACTTGCGCGAATAAGATCAGCTGTTAGCTCAACGACAAAGCTAATAATTTTTCGTCAAAAGTGACACATATCTTCCGTGTTGAATTCCATTTATTTGGGTAAAACTAGGGGTAATCTAACCCAGAAAAAGGCTTCCTACAGCCGGACACTCAACAAATAGAGAACCCTCAAAAATAACTGAGGAATATGTTCTTCTCTAGTCTCACTTACGAATAGGCTGTGAAATTAGTTCGTAGATTGTTACTAATACGAGAGTATTCTTATTTTGGTGAGGTGTTATTAGCTGACCTAGGGAGTTTAGGATGTCTTTATCAAACTTCAATTCTATTGCGACATTTGCACAGCTATTGTGCGGATTTCTGAGCATTATCCTAAATTTGTCAAATCCGTTTGACCTCAGAACTGAATATACGAACAAGCACGAGTTACAAAAACACCCCCGGGATTTCAAACTATTCGGCCCATCGTGAAAACTTGATGCGGCGAGAGGACCAGCGTAGAATCATTGACGATGGCACTAGTCGAGTAAGTTCCTAGCCAGCGTTACCTTACACGCCGTAGATCATTATATTCATGTGTTACTGAGAACGTATGGTCATTCTTATCTCCGTCTCCAGGCGTGTGTTCTCTTTTTTTCAACAAGAACGCTGTGAATTTCGTTCCAGTAGGCTCTTGTCACGTGCCCGTGTGTGTTCCATCACTAGGCTCACTGGATCAATATCATTCATATTTACAATATCTACCGAGGCAAACGTGATACAGCTTCACCATCATCGTTTTTATCCATGTGGGGTTGCTACATAACTTTTGATATAACAGCGTAAGCAAATTTGATTAGTGAATACATGACGGACCAACGTTTCCCATACATAAAACACAGGCCTGTCGTCTAGGTTCAAACAGTTATGCATGTGTACACTACAAAAGGAGCTTTCCCATCAGGCACTCTTCTAGTGTTTTGGCCAGATAGCTGTTAAACTCAAACGGTAATCAGAGCCCCAGACCGGCTTGAGTTAGATGACAAGTCGTGTCCGTGGATGGATGAATGAATGGATCACAAACTGTTATCAGTCAGTAAGGTTTTAGCCAGATGGATTCCTTACCTGGATCATTGCGAGTGATGATGACTAAGCGTATGGCTCCAAGGTTACTATACTGATCTACAAGTCTGAATGTACTGTATGGGATGACCTGGCTCATAGTTGGTAATAACCATTCGAGGTTGATGTAAATGTTCATTCTAATTCATACAACGGTCGTCTACGTGCACATAACGTAAAAGAGCTGCTCAATTTGAGCATACTTTGCCAAGTAATCAAAATTCAGTTTAAAGGATAAAACTTTTCGCTATTGTTATGGTAAGGCGCACAAGCAACCCACGAACTGGCACGTTTGACAGCTGATTTTACCAGGACTTTTGCTAGAAAAATGCGTGGTACTGAAGAGTGTTCATCGAATTCATTTTAACACCTACAGAGGAACAATTTTTTCAAAGCTTCATTATTACTTGAGCAAACTTGGACTCCAAAAAGGCTTTAAAAATATTACCTGAGTGGTAGTAGGAACCTCTTTTCTACGATGACTCTCTCTCTTGCTTCTCGTTTAACCCATATGTCAAACTTACCAGTTCACAATATAAATGGCCTTGAAAAGGGATGCACCTCCGAAATTTAGTCACTCCCCAAGTGCTTCACTGGCATCAGGCTTATTGGTGTACGATTGCTCCAGACAGGAACCGTTTCGCAGAAGCAGCCACTCTCCCTATCACTCAACTAGTTGCAGATGGGTGAAATATTGTAGACTAATGACTTTCACTCGGAATTTAGTAGGTCTGTTTGAAATTCATATGAAAAATCGAACTCTTATGAGCTAGGTAGGTCCGTTCAATGGTAAAAATTCCATGATATGTGGTGCAAGTAAACTTAGGTTGCCGTTTATACTATTTAGGGAACTATTTTGACTCACAGGTATGTACTCCAACCCATCCGTTTTCGACATGACTTCTACTTCATGCAGCGTCTGTTTTAACTAAATTAGATCGAATTAGAACCCGATGAATTCGTAAGTATCTGTTGGTTTTTGCAGATTAAATAATTCTTTGACCCATGCTTCTGACCACCATAAGTTGTTTACTTTGAATCTGTGAAAGAGTTGACGCAGACATTTCAGCTCATCCAGCGGCAAAAAAACAAAATGCCGGGTACTGGGCGCATTAAGCCCAACTCGTATTGTGTATTGTCCTGTCGAAAGGAGTTTTCATACTCAATTTTTAACAAAAGAAATTTGTCCTGCTGTAACACCAATTAACGTGTTCAAATTCATGTAGAAGCGATGATATGTCACATAAATATGTAGTTCCTGTCTAGACTTCTGACAGCCCGCCTGGAGGTCATTTTTCCTTGCTTTAGCCATCTTTATGACAAGTTTTCCAATCCGCGAAATTGGTTCGTTGCTGCTCAGCAGTGAGGCGTTACAGTTTGAACACAGATGTTGCGCTGTCGATCATAATGATGATGATGATGATGATGATGATAGAATTAGGCCCATTGTCGATTTAATCTCAAATAATTGATGCTTCCAGTACTCTGCCAACAACCACTTATCGCTTCATGGAAGTGGGACAGAAAACATATTAGTATTGTTAGTCTGACACGGAATTTTTATTTCTTAGGGTATCGTAATTCATTCGAAAGAAGTATTTGTTCTGGACTATGTGATTGTAATAACCGTCGCGTTGTAATCGAAGCTAAGAAGCCTTGCGGACTTACCAAAACGGGATGAGTTTGCAATATCGAAGAGCGCAGAATGTTCCTGATGAATACTAGGGGGAGCACTCAGTCATAGTGTCTTCGATTAAATGGGTATGCCACTAATTCCGCTCAGGCTCGGGCAGTATTTCAGCTTCCTTATTTTATGACAACTTATATATTACGGTCAGCCTCACATTTACAGCTCATCGTTTTCCAAGGGTTAGTCGAGTGTCTCTAACCCGGGTGCTAAAAAACTAAGTAAAAGTTTCCCTCACTTGTAAATGCAAGACAGACACCCTCTAAGGCAGTAAAAATAGTCAGAAGCTCAGGATTATTCCCACGTTAATCACATAAAACCATCCTTGAGCTCACCATATACACATTTCATTAAAATTAAGAAAAGTGAGTTTAAAGGAATTTAAACACCAAGAGTTAGGCACACAAACCGTAAAGCCTATTGGCCAATTCTTGGTCGTTTGGAAGCATCAAATCAGTCTGGAATGCTTTCATTGGGTTCTCAATTCACAAAGAAAGAATGTAGAAATTGATTGCATGTGTCTAAAATAGAACAACGAGCGTGTGCGCGTGTTGATGGTGGACACGCTGTTTGTTCGGGTCATGTTTCAGTGAGGTACAACAAAATTCTCAATGGTGGATAGAATTACAGTCAATGATGGTTTCAGTAGTTCCCGGTCTGGTAACTAAGCTCCACAATCACAGGAAGACTGACTCACACGCCAACAAAGCGAAGGATGGAGTGGCACGTTAACTGCAATCTTTGTGCATCGCACCTCTGCCAACCAAATTCAACAGAGTACTGATGTTTTCCCCTCAAGGTCTAAAGCACGGATGCTTCATTGTGCTTTTCTAGATGACATTTTCGACCTTCCCTATGGTGAGTGTGCACAAAATCGACCAGTAATGAGCACTGCGCTTGACGAAAAAAGGTTGGCTCTGCCATGCACTTTGGTTTTATTCCGATAAGACACCACCAACTACAAATGCACGAAACACATTGTTGTTTTGACTCACTGAGTGTGGCACGACCGAAATTTGCTTTTGATGTCCAGCAGTGGCCGGAAAGCTTGGGAACTTCAAAACCTCTCTATCGTCATGAACATACTGAGTAAACACTACCTGTAGGGTTTACGTTTACGTCATTTCGGAGTGATCAGGCCTTCTCCCATCCTGGCGCGATAATGCCATCATTTGAGAATAAAATGAGGGAATTTTGATCTTGGTGGGCGATTTATCAATCCGCAGCGCCAACAATCTTCCTCAAAAGAACACTGGAGATGCCCGAATAATTTTACTTTATCAGGTAGATGTGAGTCGACCCCAAAAATCCTTTAATCACACGACGGCTCACTCAAATTTAAGCATTTTTGTCCCAGTCACATTCATTTTAACCGCCTTCTCATTTATCCGCGATTATTCTGGCCTTTATGGTCACTTATTTTAGGAGGTAGCCATATTCCGCCGAAACTTGATGGACTTGATGAATGATGCTGGAATCTTGTTTCGTAAGAAGCAACATTGGTTCCAATGGAAAATTCATCGTGTCCAAGCCAGCCGGTTAAATTTTCCCATGCCTCCTTTTTATTCTCCCGGAGTTCCCTCAGCATCATCGGCTTGCACTCGGAAATGCACCAGCTGACTTCGAGCGAACCGTTTGTGTTACACTTGTTATAAACAGGCGTTCGCAAGATAAACCATTCTGAGCCGTCAGATCGTTCCAAAACCCTATCACTCATTACTTTTCTTGTTAGTATCATGTAGTAATTTAAAGGTATTGCAGATTTTGTGGCCAAACCTGGCAGCTGGTGAGTTTGGTTAGCCACAAAAATCAGTGAGCACAGGGAATGACTCTAAATCCAGACAGGCAGGTTAGTAAATTGAAGAAGCAATGAAAGAGAGATGGTGATATTTGATGGGACTCAGGGTTTTACTCAGAACGGCTTAGCGGGGACAACATTCCTAGAATCATGAGTGAACACCTTCCTGAAGGCATTGCTCTCACATTCTTTCCTTCCCTACTCATTTTTCTGTTCCACTTCAAAAGTAAACAGCAGAACGACATTGTGCTGCTCTACGTCAAATCGATTTTAGTGTTCCTCTTTATGGACCAACATGTACACGCAGCCCATCAATAAAAGCACTGGAGTCCAACAGCTAAGTAGCTAACGCGTAAGGTTTTGGTAGTGATGTTCGCACTGATGAAACCTTCTGGAATGACGACGAAACGTTTGCAAGTACGTTCATTTTGCTACGCGAACAGACCAACAGATACCCGATCAACTGTCAACACTTAGATTTTTAGAATTCTGAAACATATGGTTGGTTTTTTTAAGGTTTCAGGCAACCAAACGATTATCGGTGTGTTTTCTGTTTAATCTCCCTCACTGGCGACATTATCTATATCGGTTTGCCTTCTAACTCATTACAGCAGTATTCATCACGATGTTATGATGAGTCCAAAGGAACTGGAACGGCGGAAATTTTGGAGGAAATGGAGACAATTACATTGCAGCCAATCGGGCGTGGAGTACACGACCTTGAACCTGTAAGATCAATTGCTCGATCTTACAGGGCCAATACACCAACAGGTAACGTGGCTGTAGATTATCTCTATCGCTGTACTTGTTTTTTTATAGACAAGCGTTTGAAATCCTTCGAAACTGGGAATTTTTGTGGGATTTCTTCAGTTACCACAACTGGCCACCAAAAGTGTCGTCTTGCGGGAACTCCCATCATCATCTCCGCCATCATCGGCTTTATCGTAATTATTCTTAGCAACATCAGCAACAGCTTTATTAGCACTTATTCCAGATGAGATATAGGGCTACGGTTCGAAATTAGCATTCATGCTTTATCCACGTCAGCCATACTATCGGGCAATCTGGTAGTTTACAGGTTCGATAGACTTCCCTACTCAAAACGTGGGGTTAGAAGTCATCTGGACTGCCGACTTATTCATTGATATCTACACTGTCGAATGTGGAATAGCATGGATTCTCAAGTAGATCCAAATCTAGCTTTTGTGTCCAAGTGGCTGTTCGAACTTAGAATTATCACATCCACATTTCCATCAAACTCTTCATCTAAATGAAAATATCTTCAAAACAGGCACAGATCTCGGTGGCCAAATTCACTATTTCCCTGCTTCGTTTTTCCTGGTATTACTGATTCTCTGTGCATCACATCCACCGTCAACCTTTGCAATGATCTACGGTCAAATCTTACAACAGATTTCATCGCTTGGTACGCAGCAAATGAAATTTTGCCGACGTTGAAATCGAAAAAAGCAAACTTCGTCAACGACTTTGCTGCGATTTAAAAAATTCGAATGCTCAGGAGTCTTACAGAAGAATGTGACCAGAACACTAGCTTTCAAAACGTATCCTTTTGGTCCTAATTGCGAATAAAGACTCATACAAGAGTACAAGGATGATTTTGGCCAGCGATTTAACCTGTCATGATCGAATGCGCCGCCAATATCTAGTCTAGATAATTTGCGCAATTTTTCTCCGCTTTTGAGTGTAGCTTAAGATTGCCTGCTGGAAAAATCTACTAAATCCCTGCAGACATTTGGCGGAAGCACAATTAACTCAGTATATTTGTTGAAGGGAACTATCCTAAAGTATCGTATGCTCAGTCCCTCGCCACTTTTCATTCATAAGAGACATTGTCTGAAACTTTACTTTCAGGACATCGATTTTCTCCTATCCCCATGGTTTCTCGGCCTCATTCGTCCGCTGCTCGAATACGTTCCCAAACCCCAACATTCAAATCGGGTGGATTAAGTCCTGTTAAGCCGAACAGCAACGTTAGTATTACCACATTTCCAAAGCATCCTGGTACGATTAGCGTCAGTGAAACAGTTCATTCCCTACCTGTCACTCCTCCAACGCAAGTACACCGTACGTTTGCTCAGGCGAACCCCGTCATTCCACATCAACAACGTATAGAACACCAAGAACAAGCACACGAACCACATGAGCCTCAGATGGGCTACATCAATCGCCCATCTTCACCCGGCCCCATACCAGGGAGGTCTCGAATATTCGATGACACCGACACATCAGCACATGTTGCGATGCCGTTTCTTCACAATTCTTCACAAACAATCCGCCCGCCTAGTCCATCTAAAGGGGGTAAATATGACTGGTGCCTCATTCATCTGCTGTGTTTCACCCATTCATATTTGTGTGCAGCGGTGACGATAAAGTAAATGCTTAGTTTTGACGTGGTATGAACAGGTGTTCATTGCTTTTGTGCTAAACTGTTCGTATTCTAATCGCACTCAAGCACCTGCAAGATCATTCATTGTTTGTCATCCTCCTTATCCCTTGATGTCTTACATGGGGTGTTCCCCTTTTCAAGTGCACACTTCTGGTGTATCATAACTCAATGTTGACTTTCTTCCAAGGTGATGAATACGCACAACTGTTTACTGTGCATTTAGACCGAATGGTGTCGTTCTGCCAATTTTACTGATCACATCATACCCCATCTTTAGTTCCCCTGCAAGCAAAGTCCTCGAACAAACCGTGGATCGAAACCCAGAAGATGCAATACGGTGGAAATGTTGCTCGTCTATCAGGAAATTAATTTCGGTATCGAAGGCCGAAGTACCAGACAATCAGTTGATGAGGATGATTACTGAACAGTAACAGTGGAACTGCAGTGATGAAAACAGCTATTGCGCACCCTTGAGTTCTCCGGTAGCGTAATAGCTGGAATTCTCAACGTAGACTGGCACTGAGTTTATCACACTTTAGGACTTATACAACTGAGCCTGTAGAGCTTACCTAAGGAAAACTGATGTGCAGATCCACTGGTCCATTTTCATTTGATTTCATGCGACCTACACTGTTTGGTCCCCTCTTATAGTTCCAGTTACACGGTCGAAGGAAGCTCCGAGCGAACACCGGTCGGTGCTTTTGGAAAACTGCCACACCTCACTCTCACTGTTATCGTAATTCTTTCCTATCACGGAGCGGGAATTGAAACTTTGTTTCAGCTTAGCTTTGTTTCATTAGATCACCTTCAGAAAATAATCCACAGAAAAGTTAAAGTTGCTTCACTTGCTCAATGCCTAACTTTTCCTAAATCATTTCAAATGGTTGGTTTCCTCAGAGAAAATTTCACGGTTTTCCATAGGACTGTGTTCTTGAAAATAATGCACTCTCAGTTGATTTCTAATCACAAAATCAACCTGGGAATCCAAACATATCACATTTGTCCAAATGTTTTCTCCATTAATTTCTAAATTCCGGACCACAAAGGGAATCCGCGGACTCTTATCCTATATTGCCCTAAATGGTATTTTCTCCACGAGTCGGAACATAAACCTATTGTAATTTGAGAAACTGGTTGATCCTTCCCGACTTGGCTCAAAACGTGCTTGAAAGAAACGCAATGAAAATTTCGAACTAAATGATCACTGCTCGCTTTAAAAACCTCATTCTTGAGTTTGTTCGAACCTGTCTTCAATCATTTGAATTCTGGGTTGACTCCAGAAACCTTACAAACTTGTAGCCCGTAAGATACTCCGATGAAAGGTAAAATAGTATTATCGACCGTAGCGGTTTTCCGTCGATTGAGTTTGCCGCGTGGTTGATTTAGACTTCTGGGATCTCAGACAGCAGTGGAAGGCTAAACAGGACCTTTGTTTACCACTGGTTTATTTATCCTGACAAGTTTCGTGTAGATCTGAGCATCGCAACTGAGACGCAGGATTAGTAGCTAAAAACATTCTCCATCACAGAACTCAATCCAATGATTAGCACTATTAAAGCATGGTTTAGAGGAGCTCCCCGTTAAGCTTTGTGGCACATTTCCTGCTGGACCTCTTCTGCTTGGGACCCTCAACGATAAACAACATGTGTTTACGCTCAACCTTCCATTAGCTTTAACAAAAGTCAAAAATTGGTGCGTTTCCACAACAAGCGAACCTTTCTAACCTCATACTACGTACATCTTCAGTCTACACCCACCATATTCTGATTGCAGAGAGAATATCACCCATGATAGTCCGTCCTCATTCCTTGGCTGCCACCTGCCTTTATCCAACACCGCCACCATTCAAACGAAATGTCTCATGGGACGATGGAAGTCGAAAACAGGCATCAATCGCGGTCCCTCAGTCTTCATTATATTTCCTGCAATCGCGGTATACTACAGAATTTGAGCTAGCACTAAACAGTGAACAAGGCACGCACCAAACGGAACCAAATCACCAAAACACAGAAGTGGTTTCTTTCGGCACATATGACCAAAGCCGGTATCCGGTAGCTCAACCACGGCAAAGGAGGTCCCTGACACCCAATCTTTGGATACGAGAGTTTTCACTGAACACTGCATCATCGCCAGAAACTACGAAGATTGACAGCCCGTACGCTATAAAATGTGATGAACCACTCGGGGCTGATTACCAGATGGAAACGGAGAAAAAAAGTATAAAAACTTAGACATTTGCGCATTGGTGATTGCAGCGAATTGCACTCCCTTTCCCACGTAATATGGGTGGTTAAAGTTTAACTTTTCCTGGCTGGTGAGATTGAACAGCAACAGTGCGACATCTCTCGTTTCCAACAACCCCATATCCTTGCAACAGGTGGCTGCCTTCGGCGTCTGACCGCATTTTATGGCGCATTTACTGTAGCGACTCGATGACATCTGTCGAATCACAAAATCATTTCTGTAGAACTGGTAAACTATAATACAGCATGTTTTCCATGATAAAGTCCAATACTGAGAAACCTACAAAGGCCAGTCAGCTAGTGCCACTATGAGTATGAGAAATTTTTCTGCAAGCTCCTGATCATTGACGGTACCTACCCGAATTTCCATGTTCGTCTGTCTTTCCAAATCTCCATGTCTGTCTCTCTAACAGGCTACCAACATATTTGTTTGCCTGTGTATCCGTATGTCTGCCTCTCCGTTTGTTTGTCTAATTTTGTCTCCCCGGCTTCCCAAGTTGTAGTCGTGACAGTATCTATACGATGCTCTGTTAACAGCAGTTTATTCGGGCTTCTGTAACAGATGAAGTAATCTCACCCGTTTGCCAAACCGTCTGATTAATCCACGTCCGTTTTAATAACAATGGCTTAATAAGGCGAATACCCGACCGACCTTGTTTGGTTTCGATTGTCAAGGGTGTGTTTCTCCGTGGATTTCGGGTGGTGCTTGTTCCAGAAATGCAAGGTTTGGCAACCCATTCATTTAGTGGTCACACAGTGGTCGCAGAAAAATGGTTGATGTGGGCGTCATAGGGTGTAATTTGGACCCCGATCACCGGAACCACATTCTGTGACTTTGAAGATGCCTTTCTTGCTTCAGAAGATAACTAACCATAGCAAACCACCTCGTTGCCCTGTTATTCGTTGACGACTAAATGCTTGTCATGCAGATGCCTCCAGCGTGACCTGAATGATCTCTTAAAATATCAGCATTTAAAACGGTTTGTTTCTGACTGGGAGGATTGGAAATGCTACATCCGAAAATACACATATTGCTAATCTGTCTCTCAAGCAGGTGACCAGTTGCTGCGGTCAGTGACCCCGTAATAAGTTTCCGCATTGATTACCTCCCCCTGTAAAATGGAGGAATCTAAAGCTTTCATCAAGGGACACATTTGGAAGTTCGCACACCAAATGCACCATTTCATTTTTTGTGGTGTGGTAACCGATCAACACAACAGTAACCTGTGTGCCGTGTGAACCAACAAACCTCTGGTGCTCATGAAAACGAAGAATATTTTCTATACTCCACTTATCTTTGTTTCGAAATTTTTTTTAGCTTCCCGCGCCTACACTCCAGGTCCTGACACATCGGATGGATATAGAACAATTGCAACGACAAACGTACAACGGGAAATACACTCTCCCGGAGCGCATTCCCCATTTATGTGAGTAATGTTAGGAATCTGCTGAATGACCAGTAGTTGGATGATGGGCTGGCTTTTAACGAGACGTTTTCAATGCATAGTAAACTACAGTCATTTACCCGTTCCAAAGCATTATTTTTACTTTCATTCTTTTGTTAATTTCAGAGTCAATGACAGTCGGTATGTTGAGTGTGAATCGGCATTCTTTTTTCCTTGACTCGGTTATTTGTGGAAAGGTATCATAAGCAACACACAGCAAAAATGTCAGGTTTTGAAGAATAAGATGTGGACCATAGGTCTTTCGAAAGCGTGGTTAGATAAGCGGTTAAAACATTTATTCCGTAAGACACCGTGTCAGTCCAAGTCAGGCGGTGCTGTGTGAACGGAGAGAATTTACCCTGCGATTGTGCTCCATCCCGTTCCAGAGTTGGAAGCATTCTGCGAAACATGGGATCTGTTTAATGAAACTTACTGGATGTTGAACGGAGAATCAGACCGGTGACAAAAATGCGGAAGAAACAGCTTTTGTTTTTTAGCTGGAACAGGCCGTTCGAAATGGTTATCAACTAATAGGTGGATATTCATTCTATTATGCCTTCTCATTCTAGATTACCTATACGGTCCTGCTGCTCACAGACCAAAGAGACGGATACTGACAGATAGGGATACTGAATAGTATAATCAGGTTTGCGGCTGCTCCTCTTCTAAACTACTCCATTCGTCTTGGATTCTTCACTTCATCTCGGAAACAGTATTACAGTTCCTGTGTTTATATTGTTGTTGTTTGATGTGTACATCCCTCGCAATTAGTCCCCACACTATCGACAAGCGTTATACCTTGCATGTGCAAGTCAGTCTAGCAGGTGTTTATCTGGTACACAAATTTCGTTTTTTTTATGTGGCCGCTATGAACTGAAGCACCGTCATGCCGGTGCATGTTCCCTTAAACGAGTTGTTCCCAGAATAGTTGTGAACGTTGAGTACTACTCGTCCAGAGCATAATATGGCTGTTATTTTGCGGTCCGGTATGTGTAGATAGCTCATAGTCACGAAGTAATGGTTAGAAACCTCCCCTGCAATTATTACATAATGCTTTTAGATCTATTTTGACCAAAGTAACAATACCCCAGTCGACGGAAACGGTACTTGTTTGTAAATATCATGGCCACCGGGTAGTCCTCAATGTGCCAGTCGAGTTGCGAGAATGCTGGTGTTTTTTTTCAACAGAATATTCAGGTTATTTCATGGTACTATTGGGTCGGCTGGTATTGGACTTAACTTTCATGGATTCTACCTGGATGGAAAGATGTCCTTCTTGCTGCTCCATCTTCTCCCACGGCTACACCACTTGCCTTCACACAGCAAAATAAATTTGGCAAAGTGTATTGGGAAATCCAGAGAGACAGCTGGCAGACCTGCCATCTTAGCCATCGAAATCCTAAGTTAATGGTGTCCACCGAATTGCATAGATTCATCATCAGATCAGTTACTGAAATTCAGATCCTCAACTACGCTTGCATGGTTAAGTTCATGTTTTGAAGCTGTGTTCCAAGACATGACGGTTGTCTCATGCAGATACCTTTATGGTACCCTAAAGAAACTCTTGGTCGTCAGGTGATTTTACAGCTGTTATGCTATTATTTGAAATCAGCTGATTTTATGGTTAGTCAACTGTCCATTCTCAACTAAAAATGACACAGTTAAGCTCAGCTGGTAACACCAAAACCCATGCTTAGAGTCATTACGATAGTGTCACCGACTTTCTCAGCCGATCAGTGGAATTGGTGCAAGCAGACCCAATTGCAACGGACGGGGATCAAAATAGACGAAGATCACCTACTGAGAACTATTGACTCAATATGTTACGTTAAATGTCCACATACAACAAAGCGTTTTTCGACGTCACCAAATCTTGAAGTCCTAAATAACGAACTGATCAATTGGACGTGATCCGGTCAAAATCGCTTTAAACTCTTCAATTTCAGTCTTTGTGTTTGTTACAAGCACTGACGTGTCGGCTGAATACTGATTTGAAGACAAACTTCTTTTGAATAGGTGACAATAGCCTCAACCGTTTGCGGTCAAATGGAGAAACGCCTTACATTGAGTGAGATTGCAGCACCCGTGTCAGATTTTCCTAACCATAGCATCTTCCAAATCACTTACACGGAGAGTTTGGTTTTTATTTGTTTTTTAAAGAAACACCACTATCCTACTGTTTCCAGCATGCTAATCTAATCAGTCGCCCCAACCTCCCCAGAAGTATCAATGCCTGTTTTTTTACTATTTAGCGGTACACGGTATAATTCACTGTATGAAGCTAGAGCGTCAGAAAATCATTTCGTCTCTAACACGTTTCCCGAGCAACAGTGGCGAGCACACACAGGTATGTTGACTTTTTATCCGTCCAACATTTTACTGTTTCATCGCATACCTCAAAATTCATCATGCTGGCATGTGTGTCCTATACACCTAAAATTCCTCACCTGTAATCTATCAGTAGATCGGCTTGCATGGAGCAGTCGTGAGCGTATCGAGCAGTACTCGCTTTCCTGGGCCTCCACAAGAAAATCCGGCCTATTATATTTGAAACTAGTCCTGAGATAATATTTTGTCGATCTGACTCCCATCTGTGCCAAGGACTTACCTAAACGTTGCAGGAACGCTAGTGCTCGAGTGTGTCGTGAGCTGTGACACCTGGATACGGACTACTAACTTGGCGCTCAATGTCGTTATCGGCTACAATGTGGTGGTGACGTTTCCTGTTACTTTGCCACCATGAGATGGAAGAAAGCTATTTCAAGAATAAAAAACAAGAAACCAGTGAAATGTTTCTTAGTTTGTCGGTACAGCGCACAAACAGTGTCTCATAGCAAAAACATAGGTTAAAATTTGACAAAAATGGAGTTGAGAAAGAGCCGGTAGAAATCAAATTGTGCTGCTCTAAAATATTATCTCTCTAAATTGTGTTAAAATCTAGTCACTCTCTGATCAATTTCAATCTTTTCTATAAAAGTTGCAATAACTTAGTTTACCTGTGAGGTACAATTACGGAAATGCCCACAATTAGTCCATATATAAGTGGGATCGTCAAGCTTATTTCATAGAAAAGCATTGTAGTTTACGCCTTCTGAAATAAGTCTCCTGGATGCTCATTACTTATAGAGTTTGATATATTCCAGTTGATTTTAAGTTGGCATCTTTCCAAGTGATTTTTTTAGAAATGCATTCCTCTGTCTTTTACCCCCGCATCACTACAGTTCCTCCAAACTATGCCGCGAGCACAAGTGGAGCGAGTGGGATTGGGGACTCCACGGATTGGGAACAGGGACTCATGAAGCTGGTGCGGGAGACCTACCGGGACTGGTACATGCCAGACAAAAAGAGAGAAGATAGTAAGTTTTTCCAAAACCATTTCTTTTGCTTTATCTGTGTAAACGTCGTTTGCATACAGTGAGAGATGCTTGCTTCTTCTAGCAGTAACAACTTTCTAAGTTAACCTTTGCCTGGGATGTATTACTGAAGTAGAATAGAATCATTTAAGCAGGAAAAAATGCTTAAAACCGGTTGAGTAGAGATCGTTTTCGGAAACGTTTGGTAACGCTCGGTAGATTGGGTAACAGTTTAAGACGGGGACTGTGATTCACTGCCCAGCGGTTGATAGCAGAGGCGGTGGAAATTACTAAACATCACAGCGTGAATGAAATCGAGGGTGTGAAATTGGCGAGCCTATGGGAAGCGGCCTTAGATGAGCCGAGTTGACACGTGATCGTGTCGTTGTCAATCCACGTAGAGTCATTAGCACAAACAGGGGGTGGGGGGTGAAACTCCCACCAGAACAAAGTTCACACCATCCCTTTACTTAACTATCCCAGAACTCGCTAATCCACACAGACGGACAGAAAGTGCAAACGACGTTCAAGAGGAACCATCAAATGAACCGAACCAGAAGAACTAGACCGTAGGCTGGACTCAAACATATGTAGGTTTCCCCATCGGTCCGACACTTGGTCACCCACCCTAACACACTAAAATCCCCCGGCCGACACCCAACAGAGGTTTAGTTTGACTTAGCTGATTGGTTCTCCTTCTGCCTCAAATCTCGACCAACCTCGTAACCTAGCCACTTGGCCTGACGAAGCTTTTGTGTCAAAAGCGAAACGTTGCCCAGCAACAAATCTACCGATTGTTACGAAACTTTTCCGAAAAAAGTACATTTTATTTTTTCGTCCTTCCCTGTGCCCTCAAGCCTCATTTTTTTTTCTTTTTGAGCACTGATTTCCCGCAGAGGAAGGGGATGCACGTGACTTCGGCATGGTTCCAAATCTCTTGATTCTGTCTGGCAGCATAAATTACTCGGTTCATATTGTCTGGAAGATCCGACACTTGTGACTCGTAACCGCTAAACTGTTCCTACATACCAAAGGACTCTGGCAAATACACTACTTTTAAGGTTGCTGAAGGCTGTTTGACCACTAGTCTCACTTTTCTTCGGACGGGTTTTATTGGACATCACCTGGTGCCTCAGCCCCATCGTTCCTTTAACGGGTAACCCAACCAAATTCAAGCTAAATGCTTCGTTTAGAATGTTCTTCGATCAAATATGCTGTACAAGGGCAGCCTTATGTTTCAGTTTAAGCCACGAGCACCATAAACGAGGAATTCAGGTGAACTCCACGTAAATCAAACAAGTTGGCCAAGTATGAAAACTTGGTTGAAGCACAACAAAATGGCGACAACACTGGTGCTACGCCTACCAAGAAGTACAATACATGTCTTGAGCTGTTGAGGAATTTTCAGCAACCTTATGAGTAGCTTGTCCTTCAAGGTCTCTTTGTGACGTCTAAAGTGTTTAACTGCTTTCTGACCGTATAAATAGCATAGAAAAATTTCATTTTGAGGAATATGTGAGGCAGTAATTCTCTTAAGTAGTACACACGTGAATAATGCTGCAGATCGGCGTGTCCAGTGGGAATGCAAGCAAGCGACAGCAAACTAACGAATAGTTTTCAATGGAGACAGAAGGCAAACGTCAAAGGCTTGAAAAAAACGAACCAAGAACACATCGGAGGTAATGCTTCATGACGCGCAGGTGACAACTCAAGATTTGAAGCAGTAGGACGAGACTGTCTTGTGCTCTTCTTCTCTCCAGAAATAACTTTGCTTAGTAGCGTGGCTACATCTGGAGGAGAGAATTTCTGTAACGCGGGCTTGTTTATGGATGAAGGGGAAGCATTGTAGAAGGGCTTTGACCATTCAGTTGCGTAGGTCTAACAAAATAGTTTCGAACCGATCGGAGAACGCAGGGCTGATTAAGTGAATCATCAAGCTGCGTCAGAACTGATATTTTGCCTTACCTGTTAAAAATCGAGAAAAAAGCGAGAAACGATTATCACATAACTTTGACGAATGCAGAAGCAGCCGAATACTCTATGCCCTTGAAGGCCTACAAAGTTTAGTACGACCATCGGTAATGGGATGTGACTTCCAGTAGCGTCAAAGAACGATCCCTTCGTACGTCAAATTTGTCCTCACTTTTCTATCGATTACAGGCACCCTTTTGCAACCCAATGCTCTCAATACTGCTTCTAATCTTGATTCGGGCGAAACCCAGCTGGCAAACTCAGGTGTATTAGACAGGCAACTGTGTAGGGGAAACCAAGCGTTATTCCGATGGCACCGTGAGCCTCACTAGGGTCGAATGCCTGAAAGTCAAACAGCATATGATTTGGCCAAATTAATACTGTGATAATGTGATCGCAGCCTGACATACGCGGTCATGTGATTTTTCCGAACCAACCCTATGTGGAGCTTTCATCACGCGTTGAATTCAGGTGTAAATTCTCGGTTGTGCATGGCCCCGAGAATACCAATACTTCGAAATTGCACATCGTAATTTGCCATTGATTACTTTGCTTAGACATCCCGAGCAAAAAAGCCCTCCTTTCAGAGTGGTGGCGTCACTTTTCGCCGGCTTCTGGGTTGATCGACCCAGTCAGTTCCTTGTGATATCATAACAAACACTCGTTTATTGTGTCCGTCCCAACCTCAATGCATTCGCACGGTAGCGAACCGCGTGGACCAAAATGCCACATTTTGGAACATATTGTTTTCAACCTGACAACTTAACGGTTGCAAAATAACCCGGTTAAAAGCCGCTTGACTTGTGAAGAATTCTAAATGTGTTCTTTAAACTCTTCTCGTAGATATGGCACTAAACATTTCCTTCCAACCATTATGATGAATTGTTGCCTCTCCCCTATGATAGGTAATGGTATATCCCAAATTACGGACAATGGCTGGCAGTGACTTATAGCTCTTGAGATTAGCACACAAAAACCTTTCGAGACATATTTCCCAAAGCACTCAACCAGTAAAGGGGTCTGAAAGTGGACGATAGTGACAGATGATTGTTCCACTGTCAAATAGAGATTTTCCATCATCTGGTGTCCACGATGTAATAGCCAAGCCTCATTTTTGTAGAAACTGAAAACAAAACATTATAATCAGGTCCCTGAGCTGACATGTTAGCAAATGCCACTGTAGTTTTTTGCAAACTTTGGTCCAGCTGTTCACTGATCGATGAACTAGGAAAGGTTGAGCCACGACCGCTATTTATTCACAGCTGACCAGTCACAAAAAAACATTCGCCCATTCGGAACTTGGGACAAAAAGGCATAGACGTAAGCATAATGGCTGAGGCTAGGAATGATGAATCAAGGTCTTGTAGACTTTAGGTTTTTGCATGGCTCTTGAGTAAACCAAGAAGAAGACAATTTATGCCCCAAAAACACACGAAGCGGATGAACGAATGACTAGGGCCCAATTTATGTGCGCCCTAAAATATTCTCTCTTTTTCGATTTCAGTTCATTTCCTACTGCGTGACCGGGAACCTGGAGCATTTATCATTCGAAATAGTGTGTCTTGTGTGAACAGCTTCAGTTTGGGAGTGAAAAGCCCACCACCTGGGCCTTTGGTATCTGCGAACCCGGGTAAGTTGAGCTGGATGATGTGAGAATGCATCTCCCGCAATTCATTTTCAATTTGTCATAATTGTCGCACTTTGTACAACTTAGTTCGCTTCACTGGTGGATACCTGTTGAGAATTGGCACAACTATTCTTGTTGTTCTAAGCCTGGGATTGAGCTGACTTGACTCGATGAACACCTCTAAGTTAAGGTTACCCCTCGAGCCAGATAGCTGTTTCCGACTGAGAAATTTGGTCCACTTAACCAGACGCTTGTGACCTTATTACACTGGTTTCTTTTATCTTGTAAAACAGAGTACATGAAATCAGGGCCAGTCAAGCACTTCATGATTCAGACTATCCCGATGCCTGACGGACGAACCGAAGGAGTACAGCTTCGCGGTTTCGAGGATCAACCAATATTCCCCGGATTAGTTCAGTTTGTCCACCACCACTGTCTACATCCTGGACCCCTACCGTGTCAGCTCCGACTGCCAGTCACCAGCCCAAACAGTCATACAAGAATGGGAACGGGTTACTTTGGCTCACTGACCAAATACGGACAAGGTAATTCCACCACGGCCGGAGTTGGTGGTACGAGTAAGTATTTCTGCAATTAACGTCTGTAACACAACTTCAAAATGTCTTCCAGAGAGAATAGAGTGAATTTACATGCGCACACTAGTTGCCTTTTCGCTCCCTGAGTAAATGATCCACATTCATTTTGCAACCGAGTTAATTTTAAACTTGAGACACAGTACAAATTCCCTTCATACTGGTACCACTCTTGCCTGATGTATACTGTTTAGAATGGCATGGAGTTTTTCGGAAGTATCCTAAGAGTTGTTTCGTCAGTAGTTGGACTTGAACTTTTTATACAACTTCCACTAACCCCTATTATTTTATGAGCGCAAAAGTACTTTTCATCCACTTATACTGATGTGCTACCGCCGTGAGGATATTCACCGTTGGGAATTGCTCGTGCTTTGTTTTAGTTTACTAATTTGCTAGATTGCGTTGCTTCCTTGATGTCAGTTGTTCTGGTGACACTTAAAGAAATCTAGAATTCGTCTGACCACTTCGAATTTCTGGAAAACTTTTGCGCACGTCTTTGAATCGAGATTTTTCGCTGAAATTTGAGTCAATCTATGCTGAAAATTCAAGAAATACTGCACAGCTTTTGATCTTTGTTGAAACTGATTGGTAGTGCCTGTCCCATGAAATTCGAGGGCTTTTCAAACTCACAATTTCCCAGCCACAAACGGCTGGTCAGTAGTGTGAATAACTCGCACCCAGACAAGTTATAGTGTCGCTTATCTCCTAATTAAGTCATCTACCGTGATCGAACAAATCTTCCTGTGGATTCCTAAGATGTGCGCCTTACAGCAAGACATATTCGACTGAAGCCTCCTAATCTCCTCATAATATCAACAGACATTAGTGCTTCTCCGTCTAGTAAGTTCCATTATATTTGTTTTTTCGTGTTTCCAGTTCGAAAAACTCCGCTTCCAATAAGCCTCTTCTTGTAATGATAATGGGAAGCATGCGTGTGCCCTTGAGAACAAACTCATTTACCTTATTGGATGATTTGAACAAGAACAGTCCATATCCATACCTGAAATTTCGCTGCTCACTTTGTTCTGACACACAAGAAACCGCTTCCCCCTATAAGGACACGCCTGAGCTTTCATGAAGAACGATTAGATCCTAGTTTGTTCCATGCCTACTTTATTTTTTCTCCCAACATTTATTCAGCGCTCCACATGTTGTATCTGGGAAGTGTTAATGTGGACCGATTGGAGAATGAGGCTGCAGTAAGACGGGCAATCACGCACATTCTCACACAATCAGCCATCAATGTGAACAAATTGACAAAGCGCTGTGAAGCAGTGGTCGTGGTCAGTCCTCAAGATGGCATACGCATTCATGATCGAGCCAAGCGTGGTCTTTTGGAGAAACATATCAAACCAAATCAGATAGTTTTTTGCGGTTTGGATCCGGAAAGTCGTCTGTGAGTTGATTTTACCGCCCCCTTTCTTCAGTTTGCACTTATACACTTTGCACTTTTTCGCCTGTGGTTTTCAATATTAGTTCGACAACCGGTCACCACAGCATATGGAGGTCTATTAGGCCAACCGTCATTTAATGCAAACTTGCACAAAGTTATTCCCGGGCGGATTCGCTTCTCCAGTAGAATCAGCCCAGTGAGCTGTTTTGCCATACAGACTAAGAACACCGAGTTGAAAATGGGTTCTAAATCTGTAGCCTCGAAGGTGGCGTTCACCTCAGGTACAAAACTTTCGACTATGGTCAGTTAACCTAAACCCCACTTAAGAGAACAGTTATAAATTGTCACACCAGACGGGTTGCTTCAAGTTTACTGACTCCATAAAATGAGATCCAATCACTGAACCTAATGAAGAAAATGCGCGAAATGACTCCACTTACCTAGATAAAAGTCGATTTTAAGTTTGCATTCTTGCTGTTCAAAGGAGAAGCTTGTGAAGAGAGGTGTTTTCCGCAGTCTGTTACAGAATGAATAATTTCTGTATCTGGTGGCTGCAGGATGGAAGATGTCCTTCTGGGTGGGAACGCCAGCCTAAAACTGTTGCTCTGGATAGATGGATACGCAACCCAATTACCTAGCCTCATTAAAAACCCTTGTGGTGTCGTTTGTTTGCTGAGCTGACTTGGTCGGTTTATTTTACCACGCCTTCCTACTAGCTTTATAACGTAAATCCGACTAGGCCATATTCACACTGCAGAAAAAGATCCATTTCCTATGTCTACCCGCAATCAGAGAGCTTCCCGATGGAGCTGCTGTACAGCAGCGCAATGAGTTTTTCCTTTGATTGTTTTCTGAACATACGATGCTGGGTATTCGACACAGGTCTTCTTGTAGACGGCGGGCACAGTGACAATCCAGTTTCTTCCGCCGATTGATAACCTTAACAAACAGTTGTAATGCTGCCAAACTGTTGGGTGCCAAAGGATCCTTCTTGTGTTTTGTGAACCCACTGCTGAGACTTCCACAACCACTAACTTTTGGCTTGAAAACAGTGTTCTCCGGGTGAAACGCACTACTAATAACGTTCCTGAAATCCCTTTAACGTTTTGGGTGATGTGTTACGTCTAGACAGGGTAACACTACACCTCCAGTATCGTACTAGCCAAAACTTGAGGCGGATTTGTGCAGCATATTCAGGTAAAGAGGCCAATCGCAAATAAAAGACTCAGTTCGTTTGAGCTGAGTCTCTCGTGAAAAACGAAATGGTGTAAAATGAAAGTAGCCGAAGGATGTTCTCCAACATCCTCAACAAATCGCTCCGCCTTGTGTCTCTGGAGGTCATATGTTTTGCCGAAACGTGTAGATTTAAGTAACTCAGGACTTATTGTAAGTTAGTTATTCAGAGCGGCATCAAAGGGAGAGCCACTGGAACCTTACCTTCCTCACTCAATACGGGAGTAGTAAAAATATGCAAGTTTCTCAATAGCATCTTATATCTGATATCGCAACTTCACACCACACGTTTGATTCTGCCCAGCTGCGCTCACCAGATGTTGTCCCAGAAAGATATACCGCCACCTCGTCGCATGTCCCGCAGTGTTCCTTTGCCCGTTAGGCTGAAATTGTCTTGTGTGTTGACCTACATATCACGAGTCATAAAAGCTGTTCTGTCAAGGTGGTTCTCAGTCTTCATTGTTCGTCGCCCATAAACGCGTGTTAGCAATAGTCTAATCAAACCCTTTTCCCCCCATATTCGCAGATACACGGACCCGGAATTGAGGACCCGCGGAATGATCCACGCAAGGTGAGTTGTCTGTTGCATGAGGGGCTTAGATAGCAGGCTTATTTTATGCTCATTACGTGTAGAAACTTCATCCATAACAAATGCGCAAGTGGCATATTGTGTGAAGGAAAGGAAATCTTTTCCATCATTTACCAATAATGTTGATTTGTTCACACCCCCATATTATCCGAGTTCGTGTTTGAAACCGTACCAGGAACTTACGTTCCTTAAGGTAGCAGTACTGCAATTCGGTTCGTGCAAACACATAAGGTTTTCGACTCTAAAGCGCAAACCTGCTTGGAGCCACTGACATAGAAGTGTACTATTTTCTTCCCTTACCACTGTGCGTCCATTCAAGCAGCCGTTCCCTCTAGGAAGAGTTTTGTTAAAAGTCAACAGATCGATGGAAAAGATGCAGTTTTGATACAGCAAGTGACTTCGTCCCTCACATTTTGGCCGCCATCGTCTTTTACTCGCATGATCAGGCTACTGCTCTTTTAAGCTCTAATGATGAACCACAACATGGACTCTCCAGAATCCTTCTAAAAAGCAGTATTAACAATTGTGTGTCTGCAAAAGATACAAGCGTGATTTTTTCCGTTCTCACCTTCTATACCATTCATTGTCTCATCCACAGAACCGTCGGTTTGGTTGTTCGCAAGAAACAGTTCTGGATGCACGGGAACCTGGTCTATGTCCTCACCGAAATCGATCCATCACAACCGGCACTTAACCTAGTCCAGTATGTCAACCAAGTGTTCCTAAGCTAACTAGAGCCACGCATTACATTCTAATTCGATCATTCGTCAACTAATCCAAAGCGCCACCGGGAAGACCTCTTCCCCCAGATTCTCCATCGTTTAGTTCAAGCTAATCAAACAAATCAAGAGGATGGTGATTACAGACTTGTCAACTGTCCACAAGTCCTGGTACAAACCATACTCATTCATCCTCCCCCTGAATGACTGTCTTGTGTACTTTATCGCCAACCGCCAACACAGCTTTTGCAACCATCTCGCTCCCAATGATCGACTTCAAACCTATGGGTATACACACACACATGTTTACCTCCAATCGTCCTCTCAGACACAAGATAGACCCTATGAGAAGTTTGGATTATCCCGCCAACAAAAGATCAAACCAGCACTTCTCGCCTGATTATCGATCTTCGTTTTTTGACCCTCATCAACGAGTAAATTGTTGCTTTAGTTGTATTGAACAATCCATCTGTTCTTTTCGAGCTGCTGGAATTTGCCATCCGGCGTTCTTTCTATTTATGCTCGTTTTTAACCATAGATTTTCTGTTCTCACCACTACACACCGACATTTATCTGTAGAATATAGTTTGATTTTTCTCTTTTCCAGTGTGGTGTCCTTCAAAATTTTAGTTGTTGCTGGTTTTTTGATTGTTCTGACTGCCTGCTGAGTTCCGGTTTCTTCTTTCCCATCTTCGCCTTTCCAATCGATCTGTTACTCCACGACTTTCATCAACTTGGTCAATAGTACCATACTTATCTTTATCACTAATTTGTTTACTTGTTCAATCAGGCAGATTATTTTTTATTTACGCCCGTGGAAGCAATGTCCTTACTTCATCTTACAGCAAATAATACTATACACCTGAGGCTTACGACAATGCAGATTCGCACGGTCCACAGCCATTGTTATCGCTACCGCTTCACAACTCATTCTTTTTCTCAGTCAGTCTTGTTGCGGGTTCGCCTCACTTTTTTCGCTTCATATCTTACTAGGCGGGACAAGAGCAGACCTGACCGGAACGTTGGAATGTTCCACTCTCTTGTTATTCGTTTGGAATGCGCAAGGACTTATTAATTTAATCTTCCCTCCAGGCCTTTTTTGCTTGCTCACAAGGAAATCATAAGGATCGAAACAGAATTTCCTGTATCTTATTTCGAACTCCAATGTTTCGCCACTTAGCTCTTCATCTACAAGAGCTCCCTAGTAGATATTTTTCGTTTCCAAATGCCGTTTACGTATGGTCACGTGGGTCACAGTCGCCGTGTCATAATGATACTTCGTTTATCTCTGCCCCCTGTTCACCTATTGATCGTGTTATCTGAATAAAGAAAAAGCCTGAGCCATAATTGTACAAATATATATTTGCCGCTCCCAAGTGTTTTTTGCAATGCAACCAGTTTTATAAGGTTCATGATTTCGCTTTCTTCATGTGTTTGTGGCTAGTTCTTCGATATTTCACAAGTTTTCAGCGGTGTGTTGTACAAAACAGCAGTAAATATTGTGCACGCAGTTCTTAAAAATGCAAATGGACGACCCCGAAGTGGGTTATTCATTTGCCGTTCTCTCACAAAACACTTTCATTTTAGTCGAATTCCCGACAGACTGAGTCGGTCCTCTGAGTTCATAGGTATGAACCTGAAGCTGAGCTACCTATCACTGTTTGAATGGCACAGGTGTTTTGCAAATGATGTGATGCTCGAAAAACTAAAACACATTAATAGTTGGACGACTGTTTATTCAGTGTTCTGAACGGTCCAAGGCTGAATAATAACATTTTTAACTTCTTCCTGGTGTATAAAAGAAGGGCGAATTGTCATAATCCGAGAGACATAAATAAACACCGACATATCGCCTCACTTTTTTCGCTTCATATCTTACTAGGCGGGACAAGAGCAGACCTGACCGGAACGTTGGAATGTTCCACTCTCTTGTTATTCGTTTGGAATGCGCAAGGACTTATTAATTTAATCTTCCCTCCAGGCCTTTTTTGCTTGCTCACAAGGAAATCATAAGGATCGAAACAGAATTTCCTGTATCTTATTTCGAACTCCGATGTTTCGCCACTTAGCTCTTCATCTACAAGAGCTCCCTAGTAGATATTTTTCGTTTCCAAATGCCGTTTACGTATGGTCACGTGGGTCACAGTCGCCGTGTCATAATGATACTTCGTTTATCTCTGCCCCCTGTTCACCTATTGATCGTGTTATCTGAATAAAGAAAAAGCCTGAGCCATAATTGTACAAATATATATTTGCCGCTCCCAAGTGTTTTTTGCAATGCAACCAGTTTTATAAGGTTCATGATTTCGCTTTCTTCATGTGTTTGTGGCTAGTTCTTCGATATTTCACAAGTTTTCAGCGGTGTGTTGTACAAAACAGCAGTAAATATTGTGCACGCAGTTCTTAAAAATGCAAATGGACGACCCCGAAGTGGGTTATTCATTTGCCGTTCTCTCACAAAACACTTTCATTTTAGTCGAATTCCCGACAGACTGAGTCGGTCCTCTGAGTTCATAGGTATGAACCTGAAGCTGAGCTACATATCACTGTTTGAATGGCACAAATGTTTTGCAAATGATGTGATGCTCGAAAAACTAAAACACATTAATAGTTGGACGACTGTTTATTCAGTGTTCTGAACGGTCCAAGGCTGAATAATAACATTTTTAACTTCTTCCTGGTGTATAAAAGAAGGGCGAATTGTCATAATCCGAGAGACATAAATAAACACCGACATATAAATATTTGTGATGTACTACTCATGAGGTTGCTGAAAATCCTTCGACGGAGGATTTTCAGCAACCTCATGAGTAGTACACCACAAATATTTATATGTATCGCAATATCTCGAATATCGTAGTAACTGAACTATGAGGCGGCCTGGTGCAGCACATTCAGTTGCCTGGAAACAGCACAAACGAGAGGTTCAGCTGGGTTCCAGATGAGCCTCGAAAAACCAAATTAGTTTGCAAATGAGTGTATATTCGCTAACCACCGACATTCTTCAGTATTTTCAATTCAGCCAACTGATGGGTGTTTCTTATTCAAGAACCTTATTTTTTGTAGTTCGTCACTCTAGCTCAGATAATACATGCCCACTCCTGTATTCTCATTATGTAAATAGGACCACGTCGTCGCCAGTCTCCATACGATCGAATGAACTAATGTGTCTTGGTGCTAATTCAATCGCTTTGCAGCACATCACTACGGAGAAACAGCGTATACCGAACTGTCTGACGCATATCGTCCATGCGCTCATCTGCGATATCCTTGCCATACGTATTATTGTGACTGTGTCGCCGAAACTTCCGCATGTGCAAACGCTACTGCACCAACTTCGTTCAGATGAGGTCACAGGCATGATGATGTCACTACAATGTGCGTTAGGAAAGAACAAAGCGACACAAAGTGAAAGCATATGACGAGTAGAGTTAAGCACTTCCTTTCCGACCACTTCAGCTGTCAATCAAAGCCATGCATTGACACGTCGAGGACATGGAAAATTTAGTTTGAACTAGCGCAGCTTCCAGGCACAACTGGAGCAGTTGTGATCCAACTACTTGACATCCACCGCTCTGTCTTTGAAATTTATGCCCTTCGTAGCCAGCCAAGAACTGCTAATTTTCCGTACCATTTGACAAATCCATCTTTCACAATCCCAATTTCCCAAAACTAGACCAGCTGGTGTTAATCAACATTGGCGGTATGGAAGATGCCTTGATCCTGCGCTTTGGTGGGCTGTAATAAACACGTTGGAGGAAGAGTGTGTGTCTGGGGCAAATTGAAGAACTGCGCATTGTCTTACCACTTTATGCACCCGCGCTTAAACATGTCAACACATCGCGCTGGGTAGGGTTCACACCTGCAAAAGAGGACTGCAGTTATCCAATTTTATGATAAAATGCAGTTCTAAATTTGACCTGAACGAAGAGTGATGTTAATTAGGGCGAATAGCAATCAGTTGATATCATCTTCAGTTAGTTGACAGTCTGGAAAATGTTGAACAGCATCATGGTGAAAAGTATCAAGTGGATGTGTGGAAACGATTATTTGGACAGGTGAACACTGCCCAGTTGACGAGTTATTTCGCTGCTTCTTGACCATTTTGAGTTCTTAAATTTCCACCTATATCCAAAGGTGCGAATTAACCCCTTCCGGTTATGAATGAACTACTGATAGAGCTGCATATTTATTAAATTATCGCCCCCAAAGATGGTTCCTCCTAAAGGAAATATATTACCTCGTATTCTGGTCCGAAGTGATCATCAAGGTCGTGCTCTTAAGTGTGTAGAAACAACGCTGTATTTTGGATGTGAACAAATAAGTAACTGAATCACCCGGATCATGCAAGAACAAAATATACCAAGGCGAATGCTCGCTCTGTTAGAAATTCTGTATCTGGTAACCGTTATTTCTTGTTCTTCAGAGCAGTGATATTTGTTGGGGAGATGACTGACTTCTCCCCTCGGAAGCACCTAAACCGTGGCTAATTTCAAGTTGTTTGTTAACTTCAAGCTCGGTCTAAAATGTCGCTTGGACTTGACGGAAACTAACTTCAGATCGGATGGATAAAACACGTGCTCCAGCATACAAAGATTTTTGTCATTCTCTACAGTCGCGGACGCAAAACACTGGTATTTGTACAATGTTTTGGAAACATAATGATCCGTGAGAGGGGTACAGGGAGATAACTTTTAAAGTTTCTCTTAAGAAGACTCCCTACCTCGGTTATGCAACGTTTTGATCGCTGACTATATCTTTGATGCAGGATTGTAAATAGGCGGACATGGATTGCATTCATACCGGTCGGTTTGCGGTTCAGTTTAACAAGATAATGAAACAACAGAACTTGGCAGCTGACCACGTCAATCTTGTGAGATCTACCAGCCTTTACTTTGAGGCCCCACAAAAAGGTACACGAAGTGTAGGAAGACTCAAGGGCGTCTTCCTGAGACACAACCAGCAGTCGACAGTCCCTAGAATAAATCTGAAGGCGTTTGCAACGATACCGTAAGAATAGTTGAACATGAAATATTGTGGTCCGGTCGAAATTTCCTGCTTCCTTCTGGCGGTTATAAACACATCCATAATCTCAGGCGAAAAGAATTGGTTCAGCCTCAGTCGAGCACAAGACATCTCAGTGGTTAAAATGTAAACTTGGTGACAGAAAGGTCTGTGGTTCGGACCCAACCTCCTCACCTCGCTCGCTCCTGCCTAGACTTGGGCCAAATAGTGAAATTTCATCCCTGGTGCTTCCTTTGGGTGGCAAGGCAGCTAGGCACCAAAAGAATATTGTAGTCGAACGACGAATCACTTCTTATCATTCGGAACTGATATCGCTTGAAATAAAGTTCGAAAGCTACCAAAGGATGCCTACAAAATCGGTGCACAACTTCAATTGAAAAATACATGACTAAATAAAAAACATAGCAGCAAAATCATTTGATGATATAGGCTGGTTCTGTGCCAAAGGGTTGATGTTTCATACTAGTATCTGTCCTCTTCGGTGCGGAAACAAGGACGTATGAAGACTGGGCAGGGTTAGGTAGGATCATTATGAAGAAAGCTGAGTACTTGTGAAAAATGAATACCATTCTCTCCGACACTGAGAAGCAGCAGTAATCCGCAAAATAAACAACTTGTAGAGAAACAGATCATCAGATAACTGAAAATTCAAAAACTTCGCGATTACTTCACAGAGGCGAAATATCAGTATCTGGAACCCTACAACGCTAGGTTTGCGAG